CATCGGGCTTTCTTGTGCAAGAAATTCATGTTGCCTATCTACACTGGCCTCTTGCACAAGAACAGTTGCGCAAAAGGGCTTATTCCTGAGTGGAAGCATCAGAGTTCTGGCTCAAGAAGCCCTGATTTCATACATGAGAACTTCAGTTTACTTGCGCAAGAACACGTGGCCAATGTAGACAGGCAGCAAGTTTTTGTGCAAGAGTGGCCACTTTTGCACAAGATCACGCCAGTGTAGACACAGCCAAAGTTTGTTCCACAAAAGAGTTCTTGCACCAGAAGCCAACAGTGTAGATGCAGCCTCACAGTTTCCAGACAAGTAGGAGCAGAGAGCTCCTGCCCACATAAATTGACAGAAAAAAATGCTGTAAAACAGCAGTAACAAAAACCTAGACAGAGAACAGCTGTTTCTTTCTTTCACAGCAAATACCAGGGGTATGTCTAGACAAGCAAGCCGCTTTTGCGCAAAAACTTGCCAGCTGTCTACACTGGCCGCTTGAATTTGCGCAAAAACACTGACTTTGTAATGTACAAAATCAGTGCTTCTTGTGCAAATACTTTCACGCTCCCGCTCAGGAAAAAGCCCTCTTGCACAAGAATACTTGCATACAAGGTCTAGTGGAGACAGGGAAGAACTGTTTTGCGCAAAAAAGCCCCGATGGCTAAAATGGCGATTGGGGCTTTCTTGCATAAAATCGCGTCTAGACTGGCCATGGATGCTTTTGCATAAAAGCATCTGTGCCAATCTAGATGCGCTTTTGCGGAAATACTTTTAACGGAAAAACTTTTCCGTTAAAAGTATTTCTGCAAAATCATGCCTGTCTAGACGTAGCCCAGGGGAAAGCACAAATGCAATCCCCCACTACCATAAATTGTGCAGTCAAGTCTCCCCTTTTTGGGGGAAATTGCAGGTGTCAGCACACTACATGTGTGTCTAGACGGGCAAGACTTGCCACTTGTCTACACTGGCTGCTTGAATTTGCTCAAGAGCACTGACGATCTAATGTAAGACTGTCAGTGTTCTTATGCAAATACTTTGATGTTCCCACTCGGGAAAAAGCCCTCTTGCTCAAGATGTCTTTTGCGCAAATGCATCCGTGCCAGTCTAGACACTCTTTTGCTGAAATGCTTTTAACAGAAAAACTTTTCTGTTAAAAGTATTTCCGCAAAATCATGCCAGTCTAGACGCAGCCTGAGTGTCCTTGGCCAGCTAGTGAGTGGCACAAAGGTTCCCAGCAGCGATGACTTTGGATAGTTTGAAAAAAGCTTTCATAGCCTAAGTGAGATGGCTGAGTGGTTAAGATGATGAACTACTAATCCATTGTACTCTGTGTGTGTAGGTTCAAATCCCATCTGCTTCAGACATTTGCAACCCTCTCTCCCAGAGCTCTCTTCAGTTCAGTGCTAGCCTCTCCTATAACACTGCCTGCAGCAGCCTGGGGAAATCTTCACAGAGACCCTCCCAGATGTGACCTTCTGCCTTCAAAGGGTAACCTCACAAAGGAGATGCCAGGCAGTGGGAGTCACTGAGATTGGCACAGCCCTGCAGCCTGTCCCACCTGGCTGTTGCTATTGTCCCTCTATGAGGTCACTCCCTCCCAACCAATGAGCTAAATTGCAGCAAAAGGCTCTTGTGATGTCAGTGCTGCCTTGCAAGGCTCATGGCCAGCCCCTTGGCATGTTTGAGCTGCTCCTACCTGTGTCACCCCCACTCACTCAGGGTATGTTGACACTACACGGTTATTTCAAAATAATAGCTCCCAAAATAAGTATTTCAAAATAGCTTGTCCACACAACAGGGAAGGCTTGAAATTAGTCCAAGGCAGGCTTCCCTAAAGTGCATGTGCTATATCAGTTTAGAGCCCCAGGAAGCACTGGGCATTAATTACATGACTCTGAGGAGTAATTATTTTGAAATAGCAGCAGCTGACTGTCCACACTGTTGCTATTTCAAAATGGCAATTTTGAAAGAAGTGTTTTTCCTCCTGAAATGAGGGCTTATTATTTCTAAATAATTCTGAAATAACAAACTTGCAGTGTATAGATGTGCACTTACCAACTCTTCTTCCTTCTCATCATTAACACATCTCCTTCCTTGCTCCTCTCACTCCCAAAACAGGCAGTGCCTCACAGAAACATTGACCCTCCTGCTAAATCCCCATTTCTCGTTTATTTCACCTTATTGCTTTCATCATCATCAGTTACTGAGGGTACGTCTGCACTGCACGCTATTCTGGAACATTTATTCTGAAATAGCGAGTCTACATTGCACAGAATCCTCAACTTCTGTCCGAGGCAGGATTCCCTAATGTAGATGTGCTATCTCGACTTAGAGCCCCAGAAGGCACCGAGGAGGAATAAGTTAGAATGGTCCTGGTGCGGGGCTATTTCAAAATGGAAGCAGTGGAGCGTAGACACATGCCTCATTCCAACATAGCTATTTCAGAATAGGCGTTATACCTCATAGAATGAGGTCTACAGAAGTCAAACTAAGTCATCTGTTATTCTGAAATTCCTTCAAAACAATGGAAAGGCTGTGTGGATGCTTCCAGAGTTATCTCAAAATATCTCCGCTGCTCTTCACTGTCCCCTCTCACTCAAGGAAATCATCTCTGCCCTGTGTAAGGGAGCAAGGCTGAAGCCCCAGAGAGCTCTCCTAGGACTTTCCAAGGCAGAGACACTCCAGAGTATCATGTCCTGGTGACATTCATCTTCCTTGCTGAACCCGGCATGTCTGTGAGGCTCCGTGTTTGTTTCTCTTTTTGTGAAAAGAAAATGACCTGGCCATGCAAACCCTGCCAGTGCACTCCTGGTTTCTCTTCCGCTTAGGGGTAGGGAACCTTTTGGGGGTTGGAGGGCTGCTGACCCACAGATAAATCAGTTGGAGGTCGCACATAGAAGAGAAGCAGAAAACCAAAAGCCCCCAAACCTTCGCTGACTTGGCCCAGACAATGCAGGCTTCGGCTATACTACTACCCCAGCAATTGCTGTGCTGCTAAGTACAGAGAAGAAATAATAGGAAGGTTAACATGTTGGCTCTGTGGTACACTGGAAAGTGTGTTGGATTTCTTAGTTGCACCACTCAGTATGAGTCAGGCTAATCAGTCAGAAGTTGTTGGTTCAAATCCTCCTTGAGTCACTTTAGCTGCTCCCTCATTTCCAGGGAAGCTTTTACAGAATAGGCCACCCCCTGAATGTGGACAAATGGGCCCAGGACAAGGGAAGAAACACAGGGCTGGACCCCAGGAGCTACAAGTCTCTGTGCAAGGAGGTGTCTTTTCTTCCCACAGACACAAGGGAGTGAAGAAACTTAGTGATCTTACATAGTCCATCTTTTGTTTCTAATGGTCTTTTGTGCTCATCTCTAATGTGCTGCAGGACCCTTCATTGGTTTTTAACCTTTCACAGCTACAGACGACCAGCACCCCCCTCTGAAGGGAACGACTAGTGAGGATGAGAAATAGGAAATCCAGCTGCTTTCTCAGGCTGTTCCGTGTCTTCTGGGGGCATCGTCCCATTTCCCAATAATTCTTTTCCCATCATCCTTGTGACATTCGACCTCATGTCAGTCTCTCCAGGGACAGGAGCAGAGTCCAGGTTTTGGGTTTCTCCTAGAGCAGCAGCAAGAGCCCTGTTCTATCAATCCCCTCCCACCAGTCTCATTTTCTAGCCCAGAGACACTGGCAGTTGGATGGTTTTCCCCTGGCAGAGGCTCTGGGCAGGCAGAAGGAGAGGGAAACGGGAGTGAGGGGGCGTAAGCAAAGCAGGGCCTAGTTGCTCCTCTTGGGATTTCTTTGTGTTTCTCTTGGGGTGCTAGGGGAGGAACTGGAAACACCACGTGACTGTTTTTCACTGCCTGTGATTGGGCCCAACCTGGCAGCAACATGCACAAAGAGGCCAATGCAAGAGCTCTGGAAACACTGTAGCCTTCTTCCAGAAAAGCTTATGCAAATGAAGCATGGGGTAGAATATTGCCGTGCTTCATTTGCATAATTGATTAGCAGCCGCTTTTGCACAAGAGGTTTTTGCACAAAAAGGAGCTCTCTGGAAGCCATTGCTTCTTGTCCTATGCTCAAAGGCCAAGGAGAACAATTTTTCTCCTTCCTCCTTGTGAGACCTTTTGCAATACTTGAAAACTATCAATGGTCAACTCAACGTGGGCAAGAGGAGAGTCAGAAGGTGCAGAGGGAAGAGAAAATTAGCAGCCCTGAGACACATTATCTAGGTGCATCCAGAAAAGCCTGGTGTGACTATGGGGCCAAGACTGCAAACAGCTGTGTGTGAGCAGCCAGCTGGCACCGGGCAGAGCCCATCACATCTGATGGTGTTTGCTGGATTGGGGGCTACATTAGGAAGAAAGAAGTGGGGCTCTCAACACAGTCATCTGCCCCTCCTAGCTCACATGTGCCCCTGCACACTGGTAACCGGCGCTGTCACTCCCACCTCCCTCAGCAAAGAAACCCAAAGACGCTCACTCCAGTGCAAACAGACAATTGTTGGTGCTACCTGCCTCATCCCCTGCAATACACGTGTTGTCGTCACAGGCACTTGCAGCTTCTTGCTGCCTTAGGCCTGGATTTAGCCCTTTGTTTGCTTTCCCGGGTACCTGAGCTCTTCCTGAGCAGGGAGATGGGTTACTTGGGGTTTCCAAAACAGCTAAGGGACTTGAGAGCACAAATCTCACCAGAAGCCCAGGGAGCTGCTTATGCCCCTAAGACACTTGGGTGTAGATACATGACAGTTGCAAGGAAGCCAGATGGCATCAGTGCCGCTGGAGCCAGGGAATGGTGTGGTCATTGCAGCCTAGGCTCTCAAGCCCTCCAGAGCCCCAGGGTTGGCATTGACTAGCTGGGGTCTCTGCCACAATGCTCAGCGCTAAATTTTAACAAGGAGCCTCTTTCTCCCAAGTGTTCATTTGGCACCAGAGTTTAATGTCCAGCCTACTCTGCAGTACTGCACGAGGAACACTGCTACAACCCAGGGCCTGCAGCAGTGGGAGAATTTGCTGGAGGCAAAGGGCTGCCTACACCAGTGGGTTTCAAACAACAGGTCACAACCTAGTACAGGGTTGCAGAATGTCAGGCATTGGGACTTGTTGCTTCAGGGTGATCAGTGGGGGAATAAGGCAGCTCTCCTGGCACTACAGCAGCACTGTGCCCCAGATGTGCCTAGCAGCAGGCCCATCTCCTAGGTGAGTGCAGAGGGCAGCTGCAGGGACTTTGCCTGGCTCTTAGTTCTGTTCCTACCCAGCCCCACCTCTGCCTGTCCCCAGCCTGAGGTGGGGAGGAGCTTTCAGGCATCATAGAGATGAGGAGCCAGGGGCTGGGTACAGGAGAGGTCTCCAGGGTCACTGAGACTGGGGTGGGTGAGGCTAGAGAGGCTGATTTCAGAGATACAGGTAGAGCTGAGTTTTTGTGCCCCCTACCCAGAACCAGGGTCGGATTCTCTCCCCAGGGAGGGAGCCTGGTGGGAAAGTGAAGATCGGGACATTGGCACCAGCATCGATAAATGTCACCTGCCCCCGGTCACAGTCCAGACAAATCCGGATCCTGCTGAGGGGGTTCAAGGATAGGGGGGTCTCAGGGGAGGTGAGAGCTTGGAACTGATGCCCCCACTGCTTCACAGCCCAGATCCCCACCTCAGGGCTAGAGCTCATCCATCCCTTCCTGCTCACAGACTCTCTGGCCACCCCCACAGCCCAGTATCGCCCATCCCCTACCTCCACCTCCCAGCAATGTCTCCCCGAGGTGAATCCCTCACGGCCCAGCACATAGGGCACAGAGTCAAATCTCTCCGGGGTGCTGGGCAGTCGCTGCCGTGGTTCTGCCCATCTCACACGTTTCCGATCCTCAGACAGGACGAGCTGGGGATGAGCTGTGTCTGGATCCAGAGTCACAGTCGCTGGGGAGAGAGAATCAGGGCGTGAGGGGCAGAGCTCAGCCCTGGGGGCGGCTGGGGCCATTTATCACCCTCCCCAGCAGCCCTGTTGTGGCTGGGACAGGCCTGGGCCCCAGGGAGCTGCCTCTGCCCTGGGCCCTGAGACTGAGCCGAGCTGTCACTGCAGCGCCTCCGCCTGGGCAATGGGACCCGCTTCAGCTTCTCATCTGTGTGCAGAGGCGCCAGCCTCCTGCCCCCAGCTCGGGCTGCTCCATCCCCAGGGCCAGGCCCAGAGCAGGAGGGTTCAGTGGGGGGGGAGGGGGCAGAGGAGGCAGGTAGCAGCCTTAAACCTCAGAGGGAAACTCCCTCTCCTGCTGCAGCCTCCACCCCCCGCCCAGGGCTCAGAGGGGAGGGGGCAGCGTGGGGAAAGAGCCACCTCACCCCAGAGAGCAGGGCCTGGGCATTAGTCACCCCCAGGGCAGTGAGGCTCAATGGGGGGAGCCCAGCTCTGGCTTCTGATCTGGCCAGGGGCAGGGCCTCTGGGGAAGGGGATCTGGGGTGGGGTCACTGAGAGGGGCCAGCACAGGGCAGAGGCTGGGGCCCAAGGAGGGGCTGTGCTGATCAGCTGCCCCGACACAAAGCACAGCCCCTGCCTGCAAAGCCCCCTGCCTACAAACTGTGCCCATAGTAAGAAGAGGAGGGTCCAACCATCCCATTGCTTAAACGAGGGGCAGGACATGGCCCCTCGTCCTTCTGATCCAGTGCCCCTGGGGCTCCTCACCACTCAGTGGGCAGGTTTGCGGGCTCTGTGGATCATAATTGCTGGGGGTTTGGTTGGTGATTTGAGCTACAAGTTCAGGAAGGTGTTTTCAGTCTCCACTTGAAACCTCACCCTGTCTGAAAGCTCCCTGGGTCTTTCCTCTTGCTCTCTCCAGTGCAGCGGGCAGTGTGTCTGGTGGGGGAAGAGAGCAGAGAGGTGAGATTTCACAAGTCCATATTGCCCATGACATCCCCAATCCTAACACACAGACCTGGGTTTTCATTATAGTAGACACACACTTGGGTGTATCTACACTAGAGAGAAGATGGAGGCTGCCGTTGTCAATCTCCCAGTGTTCAAATTAGTGGTCGAGATAAGACAGCTAATCGCACTGAGGGGCACTTCTATTGGTGCCCGTAGCCCTCACTGAACAAGGAGTAAGGTAAGTCTGAGGCAGAGTGCTCTTCTCTCCACTGCCTGCTGTGTGGACAGTGCCAACAGCCAAGTTAAGCTACTTTCAGTGCAGCTAGGCAATTAACGCAGGGTAAAGTTGTGTAGCTTAATTCGACTTTGTCCCACAGTGTAGACGTACACTCAGGTATTTAATGTAAAAAGGTCTGAAGCCTTCTACTTCCTCTCTCACTCAGGCCTCTCCCAGCAAAGGAACCAACCTCCCTGCAGCCTCCCAGCTACCCCAGGACAATGTGTGAAGAGATTCGCTTTCTCCTCAACATCCCCCCCACCCTGCAGACTTCACTGGGTTTGGCTCATTCACTTCCTGACATTTGTCACAGCCTAGGCCCAGATCGTGCCAAGACTTTGGCTTCAGAGTAACTTCACCCACTTTGGTCCCTTTGACACAAGTGGGAGGTTCAGAATTTGTGAACTCCTGGCTCTACCTGTGAGCCATGGGGTCTGTGTACTCAGCGTCTCTGCAGAGAGCAGCACGGAGCTGGCCATGTTTCTGGCTGTGTGTCGGGCATTTTGTGCTCTAAGGTCACTGTAATTACAAAGCGGCTTTTGGAACAAATAAGGTTCAGTGAATCCACCTGAGTGTCTGGGACGGCAAGTGGGCGACATTCTCACCTCACAATTCAACCAAAGCTTCATCTAACGAGGAACCAAATGACCAGCATCGGTCTCTTCCATGGCCTCAGACACTTCGCTCACTCTCCCCTCCCTCATCCCTTCTTGGTACCTGTGAACTGCCTCAGCATCTCCGACAGCGCAGTCGTTTGCCAGGAGAAACCCCTGACTCGCTTGTCCAGCTCAGGAGAAATCTCCTCTGGCAGCTGGAACGGCCCCATCTCACACCTGGAGAGAGACAACGTCACATGGGGACACTGCACCAAGTGACTCAGTTCTCCAGCTCTGGCCAGTGAGTCGCTGCTCTGCTGGGCCTGGAGTTCGAATCCTCCAGTTCTCCCAGCCCAAGAGCAGGGGCAGCGCAGCACTTGGCCCTGCAACGTCCCCTCAAAGGTCCCATGAACAGTCTGCAGCTCTGGCCTGGGGAGACCAGCTGGGGGACAAAAGGGGAATTGAGTCTCCACGGCCAACTCATTCCTTGGCCTCCAGGCGCTGAGGGACAGGAGGTTCCTGGGGAAGGGCTGAAGGAATCTGCCACTAGGGACTAGACTGAGACACCAGCTCCCCCCTCGCCAGCCCATTCCACACAGGTCTCCTATCAGCCCTTGGGTGGGACAGACTCTTGGTCCCTGCTGCCCTGGGCTGAATGTGCCCAGTGCCCAGCAGTGACAGGCCCATGTCCCACCCCGCAGCCCTGAGCAGCCAGTCCCCAGGGAGGTGACAGCTCCAGGAAACACTTGAGGTCAGACTGTGCCCTGAATGGGGAATTCCAGAGTCTGCTGGGCCAAGGGAGTGCCACAGGCTGAAGTTGATCAGAGATTTGTGCCCAGCCTGTGACCTTCCCCTCCCATCTGGCTGCAGAGCCCTGGGGAGATGTGGTGACAACATCAGCTCCAAGCTCTTTCCCCGCTCTGTGCAGTGTGAGGGAAGCGAGAGACACCTACCTGCTCAAGGTGCTTCTGACATCCTAGAGGGGAGAGAGAGAAAAGAAACTCAGTCCCATCGGACACATATACTTGTGATTCAGGAGTCTCCCTTCCCTGTGTGGGGAGCTGGGACATTTCTCCCTCAGTCTCACCTGCAGGAATTCACTCGCTGGCTTCTGACACTTCCCCTCCAGCTCACTGATCAGCTCACTGAGACAGGAAATCTGCACGGAGAGTTTCCTGACAGTGTCAGTCTGGAGCCTCCCAATTTCCTCATCCAGTTTCTCCAGCTGGGCCAGCAGGAGTCGCTCTTGTTCCTCCAGGAACTGCCGCAGCTGCTGAAACTCGGCCAGAACCTTCTGCCTCTTGGCTTGTGTCTTTTTCTGTATGAGAACAGGGAAAGGGCTGGTCAGGGGACCTTTCCTTGGGAGCTGAGTGTGCAGGAGGGAGAACTTGCTGGAAAACCCTCAGATTTCTGCCATTTCTGCCACTCAGCAAACAGTCGATCTGTGGAACTCCTTGCCAGGGGATGTGGTGCAGGCTAGGACTTTAACAGGTTTAAAAACAGAGCTAGATAAATTCATGGAGGTTTGGTCCATCAATGGCTATTAGCCAGGATGGGTAGGAATGGTGTTCCTAGCCTCTGTTCCTCTGGAGGTTGGTGACAGGGGAGGGATGACGTGAGAATTCCCTGTTGTGTCCCCTCCCTCTGGGGTATCTGGTATTGGCCAATGTTGGCTGACAAGATACTGGGCTGGATAGACGATTGGTCTGACACAGTATGGTATTTGACACTGTATTATTTGACTCTGCCCTTTGGGTACTAGGCAGAGGAATCTCTCCCAGCTTCTACTTTGGTCCCTGCGTCTCTCTGAAAGGTACGGTTCCCTGATTGCCATGGGCAACGTGTTCTGTTATTCATGGGCTCTGGGAATTCAGATCCAGAGCAGCAGGGGGCAGGATTCAGCACCAGCCTGACAGAGATGCCAGGGGAGAAAACAGAAGCAAACCTGTTAGTGCAGCAAAAGAGCAGACCCAGCAGACAGCCCTTCCCAGGGACATGCAGGTCACTGGGGGAGGATTTCTGGGAAACCCACAAGGACTGGACATTAACTCATCCCCTGACATGGCAGCTCAGGGCCTGTCTGCACATGGATCTAACCCAGCAATCCATGGTCATGGAGAAACTAACCATCTCTTCCTCACCAAGGCCACACAGGAGCCTGCCTCCAAACAGCCCCTCCCCCCGCCAGTCCCTGCTGGTCCACAGCCACAGGCACCTACCAGATACTCCTGGCTTCTCCCCTCCCCCATCGCTTTCCATCTCAGCAGCTTTTCTCTCTCTTCCCTCAGAGTCTTCAAATGAGCCTCAAATTTTCCCTGAGGAAACAGAAATGAGCTGGGAGGTTTCATTGGGAGGCTGGGAGGGGTGCGAAATGGGGCGGTTTCCCACTCACAGCCCCAGTGACTGTTGGTCCCAATCTCTGGGTACATCTAGACTGCAGACTTTTTCCTGGAAAAGCTCTGCCTCATCCAAGGCCTGCACCTGCTTTTCTGAAAAAAGTTTCAGAAAAGGAGACGCGTTTTCTCAGCATCCCTGTACCCCTCGTTCTGCAAGGAAGAAGGGATGTTCCAAAAGAGGCTTTTTTTCTGACATTTGGCCCCGTGTAGAGGGGCCAATTGTTGGAAAAGCCTCTTTCAGAAGAAAAGTGGAAAAAGATTTTCCAACAGAACTTGGCCATCTAGACACAGCCTCTGTGTGACATCAGGGCCTCCGGGGAGAGATCTCAGTTATCACCCGGTGGTACTGGGATTTGTGCGCTGACTAGTGGCACCATGTGTAACAGGCCGGGACTCACACTGAGGGTGAATCAACACAGCTCTGTGAGAGAGGATTTAAACAACAGAGTGACACCAATCCCAGGAGCCACCAGGGTTTGAACAGGGGCTGGGAGCTCAGCCCTGAGGCCTGGGGACTGCCCTGGTAGGACAGAGCTGGGCTAAGCACCAGGGCAAGCCCCATGAGATAGAGGGAGGCTCAGGGGGCCAACAGCATAACTGGGAGCCTGGACAAAGTGGCAGGGGAAGGGGGGCAGGACTCTGCTCTCTGGGAAGGGCCAGGCCCTAGGGCAGAAGGGGCAAGGTTGGAGACAGTGAGCCCTCAGTGCAGCCTGGAGCGTGATGCATCAGAGCCCTCACAGCCACCCAGCGCGCTGCAGCAGTGAGTTAAAGGGCCGGGATGGGGTCACCTGAGGACTGCCAGCTGATGCCGGGTTCCCTGCAGCATTTCCACAGAACCTGGGATCAGCTGGGGAGTCCCCAGCTGACCCTGAGGTCCAGGAAAGTACCACACCGAATCTGGGGTCAGCTGAGGACTCTCCAGGGGGTATGTCTACACTACCACCCTAGTTCGAACTAGGATGGTTAATGTAGTCATACGAACTTACAAATGAAGCCCGGGATTTGAATTTCCCAGGCTTCATTTGCATGTTGCCGGCTGCCGCCATTTTTAAATGTCCGCTAGTGCGGACTCCATGCCCACGGCTACACGCGGCACGGACTAGATAGTGCGGACTAGGATTCCTTTTCCGAACTATCGTTACACCTCGTGCATTAACCACCCTAGTTCGAACTAGGGTAGTAGTGTAGACATACCCCAGATGACTCGGTTCCTAGCGGCATGCAGCTTAGTAGCATGGAGCCCGGGGTCAGCGGGGACTATGAGTCCCCTGCTAACCCTAGGGTCCATGGCTTTGAAATGCACAAGAGCCCCCACTAGGGGCTTTTGTGCATTTCAAAGCAGACACCAGTGTGCAGCCCAGAGTCAGTGGGACGTCCTGCTGGCCCCGGGCTGTAGGCAGAGTTCCACATTCCTCCTTTGAAATGTACAAGAGATCCAGCAGGGGTTCTTGTATATTTCAAAGGAGGAATACAGAAAAACCTATGGACTAGTCAATGGAAATTCCATCAACTAGTCAACTAGTTTAATTAACGGCATTTTAACAACCTTACACCCTATCCCATCTTCCCAAGGCCACACAGGAGTCTGTCTCCAAACAGCCCCTCCCCGTGCCAGTCCCTGCCGGTCCATAGCCAGGCACCTACCAGATACTCCTGGCTTTTCCCTTCTGCTGTCGCTTTCCATCCCAGCAGCTTTTCTCTCTCCTCCCTCAGAGTCTTCAAATGGGCCTGGCATTTCCCCTGAGGAGACAGAAATGAGCCGGGAGGTTTCATTGTGAGGCTGAGAAGGGTGGGGAACGGGGCGTTTTCCCACCCACAGCCCCAGTGACTGTTGGTCCCAGTCGCTGTGTGACATCAGGGCCCCCAAGGAGAGATCTCAGGTACTGGGATTTGTGCGGAGACTAGTGGCACCGTGTATAACGGGCCGGAACTCACTCTGGGGGGTGAATCAACACATCTCTGTGTGAGAGGATTTAAATAACTGAGTGACACCAATCCCAGAAGCCACCAGGGTTTAAACGGGCTGAGAGTTGTCATGACCATGAGGGTTAGCCAGCAGCCTGGGGATTAAGGGGTTAACTCTGTCACTTCTCAAAGCCAGGTAGAGTCAGCCAATAGGAATGCAGGTAGGAATTTCAAACTGGGACAAAGACATTTGTGGGGGGGTTTCTCTCCTTTGTCCCTGAGTAGTTTGCTCTCCAGCTAGTGAGGGGGAGACAGAATGTCTCCCTCCAAGAAGAGATTCTTCACTATCTGTAGGTAGGGTAAGAGTTAGATAAATCGGTTAGGTTTTATTGTTTTATGGTTTGGGAAATGGGATCTGATGTCTGTGAATTTTTAAAAATGGGTTTTGCTCTCCTTTGTAATTAAGTCTTGGCCCATGGTGGGGTTCCCTCCCGCGAATATTGCCTTGTGACTTTACATCTAGTCATTATGCTTGCAACAGGAATATCGTGGTGATAATAAAAGTTCTTTCTCTTTTCTTTGTATTTACCTGGTATTGGTTAATTTTTGTGTCCTGGTTTTTACTTTAGGGGTGAGATTTACCAAGTGATCTCTCCCCTGATTTTTCTTATCATTACTTCGGTGTGGCAGCAGATTTTATCCCCAAAATCCAGGTTTTCAAGATTTTGGGGGGAAGTTTTATAGCAAAGCCTGGAGAGTGAAGATTTTGGGGTACTTTTGTGGTCCCCCACATCTGCCTTCATCGTGCCAGAGTGGGGATAAAGCCTTGACAAGAGTTCAGCCCTGAGGCCTGGGGACTGCCCTGGTAGGATAGAGCTGGGCTAAGCACTAGGCCAAACCCCATGAGCCAGAGGGAGGCTCAGGGGGCCAACAGCATCACTGGGAGCCTGTGCAAAGTGGCAGGGGAGGGGAGGCATGACTCTGCTCCCCAGGAAGGGTCAGGCCCGGGGACACAAGGGGCAGGGTTGGGGACAGTCGGCCCTCCGCACCGCCTGGAGTGCCCCGCGCCATGTTTCCCTCCCCCCGCAACCCTCACAGCCACCCAGCGCACTGCAGCAGTCAGTCAAGGGGCCAGAGGCACTAGCTGACAGAGCTGCTTCAGTAGCAGCTGTAGCCAGAGCCCTGGGCCCTTATGAATCACCAAGACCCGGGGCAGTTGCCCCCTTAGTCTCCCCTCATCCGAGGGCCTGGGGAGACCATTTGTCTGGCTTTAAGCTTCGCAGTCCCAGTTCTGTGGGGCTCTGTCCCTGCCCGATGGGGACTCAGCCCTGGCCATGGCTTTGTCCAGTGAGAAAGGAACAGGAGGAGACTGAGGATGCAGCAGGACCCCTGTGAGGGTGGGGGCAGGAGGGGGTGGCACCTCCACGCATAATGACGTAGATGGGGTGGTTTGACAGAGGCAGGGACAGGCCCATAGAGGGCACCCAAGAGTGAGGGAGGGCCCGGCAGGCAGGCGTGGGCATGTCCTGTGCTCTGGGGATGGGTCAGTGACTCCCTTAATTAAAAGGCTGATTTCTGTTCAGGAGGGTTGGGGTTTGCCCCAGCGCTGCTCTGCAGTGGTAACGCCCTCCGGGCAGGTACCCACTGCCCCAGTCCCTGGTACAGCTCCTGGTAGCAGTGCATTCTGGGAGATTGCCAGAGGCTGCCTGGTGGGACTAACAGAACCACACTGGCTGGTCTGTGCCCAGGTACCCACTGGCACAGGTCAGACCAGCACCGGGCAGCTTCAGCCTGGGGGTAGTTTTGCTCCAACCCAGTCTGATCCCAGTGGTGCCTGGCATGGCCCTGCGCTGCCTGGAGTCCTGTGGTGGGTGGGCTCAAGGTGCTCGGGGTCCCACACAGCATCCAGCCCAGTGACCTCCTCTAGTGCTGGCCGTAGCATCTGAGTTTAACCCCTCATGAAGCAGCCCAGGAGTTCAGCATCCCAGTGGGAAACCTGCCCTCCCTGCTGGGCCTGGGCCTATAGCAAGGCATCTTTCCCTCCTGACACATTTCATCACTGGGGCTGAGGTGGCAGCATGGCCTAATGGTTAAGCTCATAGACTGGGTCTGGAGAAACTGGGCTTCTATGCTGAACTCAGCCACTGAACTACTGGCTGACTCACTATCCTTTGTGCCTCAGTTTCCCTCTCCACCTTCTGTCTACCTAGACTGTAAACCATGGTCTCCAACCTTTTTAAGCACAAGACCACTTTCTGAATGTAAGTGCATCCAGGATCTACCTCAAACCCAAATACACTTACCCTGCTTCCTTCATGCCCTTCCTCTGATGTCCTACCCCTGCTCACTCCATCCTCCCTCTCTCCCCCATCCTCTCTCCCTTTCACTAGGCAGGGGCAGTGGGTTGGGACAGAGGCTCTGGTCTTGGGCTAAGGGATTTGGGGTGTGAGAGGGGCTCTGAGCTGAGCCTGGGGCAGAGGCTTGGGGTGTAGGAGGGGGTTCAGGGTAGAGGCTCTATAAGGGAGTTTGGATCCAAGGAGCTCAGGGCTAGGAGAGGGGCTTGGAGTGCAGGAGGGGGTTGATGACTGGGGCAGAGGTTTGAGATTCTGGCTCCAGCTGGACACTGCTTATTTTGGTGGCTCCAGGGTGTGGTGCAATGGGGCTAATCTCACCCCTGCCCTGGCCTGCAACACTCTCAACAGCAGCCAGCAAACTCCCTCCACCCCAAGCCCTGTGCCTCCTCCATCTGTTCTTTTGAAATAGAACCTCCTCTCCCTGTTGGGCCCGGGCTCGTAGCAAGGCGTCTTTCCCTCCTAACCCACACATTCATCACTGTAGTTGAGGTAGCAGCATTCCCTAGTGGTTAAACTCATGGACTGGGTCTGGAGAAACAGGGGTTCCATGCTGAACTCAGCCACTGACCTACTCTCGAGCCTTTGTGCCTCAGTTTCCCACTCCGTCTTTTGTCTGCCTAGACTGTAAACTACTCAGGGCAGGGATTGGCTCTGGCTGGGTTTTGTGCAGAGCCTAGATCTCACATGGGGTCTGTCAGGGTGACCGTGATGCAAATACAAGTAATAACCATAAATACTAGTCCTCAAATCTGTAACAACAGCAGCCACTTGTAGCCCCCCTTCAGGGGGAGGGGAGCAGCTCCAAGGCAAAGGGCAGGAGGTGCGCAGCAGTGGGGGGATGGGCAGCTGAAGGGCTGGCAGTTGACTGCCTCTTGGCCAAACTAGTCAGGATCATCTGTCACAGGCTCCAAGATCTACTGGTTGGTGATCACTGCTGTAAACTGTTCAGGACAGGGATTGTCCCTGGCTGTGTTTTGTGCAGAGCCCGGATCTCATGTGGGGTCTGTCAGGGTGACCGTGATGCAAATACAAGTAATAACCATAAATACTAGTCCTCAAATCTGTAACAACAGCAGCCACTTGTAGCCCCCCTTCTTTAGTCTTAGGGCAGCATATTCCCATAGGCCAGCCTGCCGCTGATTGCATGCACCTCCCATTGGGTAACGGGCCCTCATTTCCCCAGCGGGTGCTGGCTTTCAAAAGCATCCAGCATCTCAGAGAAAACTTTCCTACAGACTGTGGCTGTGTCTAGACTGGCCAGTTTTTCCAGAAAATCAGCCACTTTTCCGGAAAAACTTGCCAGCTGTCTACACTGGCCGCTTGAATTCCCGCAAAAGCACTGACGATCTCATGTAAGATTGTCAGTGTTCTTGCGGAAATACTATGCTGCTCCCGTTCAGGCAAAAGTCCTTTTGTGCAAAAGGGTCAGTGTAGACAGCTCAGATTTGTTTTCCGCAAAAAAGCCCCAATTGCGAAAATGGCGATCGGGGCTTTTTTGCGCAAAAGCACGTCTAGATTGGCATGGACGCTTTTCTGCAAAAAGTGCTTTTGCGGAAAAGCGTCCGTGCCAATCTAGATGCTCTTTTCCGCAAATGCTTTTAATGGAAAACTTTTCCGTTAAAAGCATTTGCGGAAAATCATGCCAGTCTAGACGTAGCCAGTATGTTTAAAGACTTGGTATTTTGCCTCTGTTGCCCCCTGACTGGAGCATTTATTTTGTTACAGCCTCTCCTGGGCCAGGCAGGCTTCAGCTGGCTGGTGAGTCGCACCGGGCCAGGGAAGAGTCAGGGAAATTAGCCAGTGACTAAAACCCAGAGTAATTCCCTAGCAGACAGGGCAGCAGCTCCCTACCTTGTACTCCTGGGCAGCCTCTGCTATGGGCAGCACGGTGTGCATGCAGTGCGCCCGGGACTCTCTGCAGACCACACAGATGGGGGCTTGATCCTCCTCACAGAACAGCTTCAACACCTCCTGGTGCGCCCTGCACATCCCGTCCCCGCCTGCTCCCTGCACTGCCTGTAGACTCAGCTGTTGGGCTAGTTGCCTGTTGGGCTGGGGGGGTCCCTGCTGCACAAGGTCCCTGCACTGAGGGCAGGAGGCAGCTGGGCCGGGTCCCTCCCAGCACCTGCTGAGGCATGAGTGGCAGAAATTGTGCCCACAGGCTGTGATCACCGAGTCCGTTAAATACTCCAGGCAGAGGGGACATGTTGCTTCCTCCTGCAGGCTTTTTACAGGGCTCACTGCAGCCATGGCTCCCTCCGGGCTGGGGAACAAGATCAGTTTCAATTCCCTGAGCTCAGGCTCTGCCCCACCTCCAGCAACAACCAGCTGTTCCCCTCTCTGGAGCTGACTCAGGCTGTTTGCTGGATTGGAAAGAGCAAGCCAGAGACATCCCAGCCCTGGAGGCTTTGGTGAGAAACGTCCCTCACTCTGGCTCTAGCCCTGGCACCCACCCTTGGGCTGGTGTGGAGGGTCCCTGAAGCCTCACATGTTCCCCAGAATCCACCAGATCAGCTCCCAGAATTGTGCGTGTAAGGAGTGAGAGTGAGGCTTGTGCAGAACTCATTTGTGCTTAATGTCTGACGTAGACGGATAAAGTAATAGTTGAGTATTTATATGTATTTAGTTATAAGCTCCCAGTTGCACGGTTTTACCATGTTCAATTTTCACAGCAGTGGGAAATGCTAGGGGGAGGGGAAGGCAATATTTGGCTCAGACAGTAACTATTCAGAGACAGATACTTAGATTCAAACAGTAAAAACTTTATTATTAAACTACAAATTGTCAACGTGACTCTCAAAACAGACTAAGAAAGTCCTTCAATGCTAAGTTCTCAAGCAGCCTCAGTTCTTTCTGTGCCTGTGTGTAGCTTTCAGTTATTATGAATAGGAAGATTTTTTCATCAGTTTGTGAGCAGACAGTGAAATCGAGGTTCGCTGGCATCTGCTCCCTCCAAGCCCAGTGAAAATCAATTCACAGGCCAAACACTTATTCCAGTTGGAATCCATGTTTCAAGGGCCTGATTCTGACATGCACTAAGGATGTTCTGCCTCTTTCTAAAGGAGCCTCATTGTCAAAAGTGCTGCCGATATTAATGACTTTATGGGTCTCATGAACAAAAGAGCCGCCAGGCTGGGTCAGACCAAAGGCCCCTCTAGCTCAGTGTCCTGTCTGCCCACATAGGCCACTGCGGGTGCCCCAGAGAGAATGAACAGAACAGGGACTCCCCAAGTGACCCACCCCCTATGGCTCATTCCCAGGGTCCTGCAAACAGAGGCCAGGGACACTTCAGTGCTGGGCTTTCCAGCATACTGGGGTGTCTGCCAAAGCACCCTGGGATGAAGTGGTAGGTTCAGAGGTGGTGGGGCAGGCTCGCAGGGAAGGGTGTAAGAGGGGATTTGCAGGGGGTTGTCATGGTCGCAGGTGCCCAAGTGACCCACCCCCTATGGCTCATTCCCAGGGTCCTGCAAACAGAGGCCAGGGACACTTCAGTGCTGGGCTTTCCAGCATACTGGGGTGTCTGCCAAAGCACCCTGGGATGAAGTGGTAGGTTCAGAGGTGGTGGGGCAGGCTCGCAGGGAAGGGTGTAAGAGGGGATTTGCAGGGGGTTGTCATGGTCGCAGGTGGGACTGTGGGAGGTCCGAGGGGAACTGTGGGGGGGGGTGGCTGGTGGGGTTGTGAGGG